ATGATAACCTAGAGAAATAAGTGATAAATTTGCCAAAATACCCCTTTAGCAACCAGTTTTATACCTGAGCAACCAATTGTATCCCTTAGCAACAGCATCAACAATGGCATTTTTGTAAGCTATCATTATTTTTTTGTATTCTTGAAAGAACATATAGTACTATATTTAGAAATAAATAATTAATTTACCAAATTACTCCTCAGCAACCAGTTTAATACCTTAGCAACCACTTTTATCCCTTAGCAACAGCATTAAAAAATGATTTCTTAACTATTAAACATTTATTTTTCATTACTGAAAGAATATATATTGTGACACTGAGGACAAAATTAAAAGTTTGCCAAAGTACTACTTGCGACCAAGTTAATGCCTTAGCAACAGCATTAAAAATCTCCTAGTTGTTCATTTAAAGAGAACATACATTCATGAACAATTTCGTTCACAAAAATCCTTACAATCGCAAAAAACTATTATTCTATTATTGACCCTCCCGAGGGAACTGTTCACCTATAGTGTTGTCACCGCATCGGTAGCTCAGTAGATAAAGCGTCCGCTTCCAGTGCGGAAGGTCGTGGGTTCGCGCCCCGGTCAGGCCCTATCTAAGATATTTTAAAATTGGTAGTTGGCCTTGCCAAGTGCTCAGCATTTCGAGGATAGAGCAACGACTGGTGTGCTCGATGTCAGTACCATGTGACTGAATGGGGTATTCATGTCTATCTGCGGCATGGTACTTCAGTGTGCTAGCACTATAAAAACCACCTGGTCTGGCTTGTACAAGCAGATCACTCGCACAAACTCACACGCTCATAAAATGTGTCTTAGATTAATCCTTAGATATTTATAAACTAGTTATCGTCACTAATAGCTGATAAATTACTGATGCGACATTAAACACCAACACAACAACACCACAATAGATGTATCTGAGGTGTATAGTTCCAGAGGAGTAGTGCACACAAGAAATAGTTATAGACAGACAGACGGCCAGACGGACGACAGATGGCAGGGCTTCACATGAGCTCGACTGGTCTCGACCAGTAGAGCTAAATCTATATACCCCATGCAAGATATAATCAATTTATATTCTTCACAAGGCTCCCGATATCAATGAGATTGTTTTCGAACTCTTCTGCGACAAAGGCTTCATTTTGATAGTTATTTTGTGCTGTTTTCCTTTTGCTGAAATAGCTTGAAATTTGCGATGAAGTAAAAAATTGTTCTTGGGAAAACCGCCTTTTTCCATCTTTTTGTATTGTTCTCATCGTGACTGATACTTCCTCAGGGTCATATTTGGGTCCAGTTGCTTCACCTTTTTGGAATAATTCCTTAAGAAAACTACTTTGTTCACTGGAAAATCTTTCCACTGAACGCTTTGACTTCAGAGCCCATCCTCTTGGTGAGGTAGAACAACCAGAAGAACTGTTTAAAGAGCTTTTTACAAGCGTTGACCTCTTTGTATATATTTGCTGAACATATTCTAACTTAGCTTTGTCTGGGAGGGATGTTATGTCTTGATGTACATTGATGATCCCATTTATCCAGATGGTTATTTAAATTTCAATATTTCATGAAAGTGAGGAGGTAATGTGGTTCTGGACATGTAAATATAGAAGTATTGTCAGTAATATCCTCGCTTTGTGGATTGTTTACAACATCTGTATTGTTTCATATGCTGCCTGGTATAACTTCTACTCCAGGTTATGATACAGGAACCAGTTTGGAAGTCTTTACAACTTCATCTGTTGAGTTTGATTTTAGAACTGTAATCGTTGGAAAATTGTCATTTACCTGAAAAATGCTGTTGACATGATCATCATGATAGTGAAAGTTGTTTCAAGTTGTAATAACTTTAACTGCTTTTTTTTTACAATTCCACATGGCGGAGTAGCCGTAACAACTTCAACTTTCTTTATGTTTGACTTGACGACAGCATTCAAAAATTCACTAGAAGTGGTGACATTATCGCTTTTATTCACAAAACTTCTAATAGACCCTTTGAAAAGTACAGCCCTTCGGTCACTTATACTTTTTCCACCTTGTGGGTCAGCAAAATCTACTTGTACCACTTTTAGAACACACTCTTCATTCAAACATGGAACAATGAGATTGCCTCTACACTATGAAAACAACCAGTGTTGTCTAATCTGATAAAAGCTATTAAATTTAGGTTTTTCGCTTTTAACCTCAAAATAGAATCTTTGAGAATGGCGTTTGATGTTGTAGCATCTTTATTCGCATTGTCAAATATATGGACAATAGTGTGACAATGAAGATCTCAATTTTTTTTGTATGTGCCAACAGTTACATGTATGTGCCAATTTAGGCCTCTTTTCGCAAACAATTTTTATTGGGACTCCCTATAAATCATTGGAATAAGTTTCATTGCCCAATCTCTTTCTAGTAGAACATCGCCATCAGCTAAGTTTTATAGTATGGCACTTCCTGCTCTGTCTTGATTCACTGATCTTAATAAGAGGTTCTTCCAATCTTCCAATGCCTTCACACTATGAAAAACAAAAAATCAAATACATGTATTACTGTCATTTTTGCCATTATAATGAACCATTTCACTTTTTTGTTTAAGAAATTATTGACACAGAGATGAGTTTATGATAATTTTAACACAGTTACTTCCTTAATGTCAGATATTTTACCAAAGGCAATAACAAATTTGTTTGACTATATATTGATTATAGTTAAAGTGGGTTGTCTTCTTTTGCGGATGATCATGATGATCGTTTCACTTTAATCTATGATTATACATATACTATTGTTGTGCACCTTTCCATGGTCAGGAATATGATAGTCCTTGATGTTTCCTTGTAGTGTCTAATTTTTAGTTTACAAAATGATGTGTCAGCACTGTGCCGTGCCTATGAATGTGTTACTGTTAAGGATCATTCGGAGTTCTCTTTGCTCTCTTTGTCGTGTGGGTCCCAACACAGTGAAGACTGTGGTGGTGTGACCTCTGAAAGTGTATAGTTGTTGTTGGTGGAGTTGGGTGCGTTTATGACATTGGACTCAGATTGTTCATTTTCCAAATAATACCTGTATAAAAGCCCTGAAGTACATCTGTGTGACCTTATATGCAGCAAACACAATACAGTTGTAATACATGTTTTATGTCCATCCTCGTAGAAGGCGGGGCATATTGCTTTGCAACTGTCGGTCGGTATGTTTGTCGGTCGGTCTCGCTCAACATCTTTTGCAACTGATAACTTGAGAACACTTTGTCTCACATACTTTATACTTGGTAGGCTAATACACATCAACATGCATATGATCCTTATTGATAAGAATGTCTGTATGTCAAAGGTCAACGTCACTTCCAGGCCCGACAGGGGCTATGCACTTAGTGCAACAGATAACTGGATAATGCTTTACCGCACAAATGTAATACTTGGTAGACTGATAAACTTTAACATGCCGATGATCCATATTGGTAGACAGGTCAGTGTGTCAAAGGTCAAGGTCACCGCCAGGCCCAACATGTTCTGTTCACTGACTGCATCTTGTGCAACAGATAACTGGAGAATGATGTATACCACAAACTTCATACTTGGTAAGCTGATACACATCATCACGCCAAATATCCCATTGATGGGCAGATTAGTATGTTAAAGGTCAAGGTTGCTGCCAGGCCTGATATGTTGGGGAAGGGAGCATATATGTTTTACAAAAATTTCTTATAAAATACAGAAATGCATAGTGGTTCGCTCACCTAGCAAACGTGGACTAAAATAAAACTAGCAGTGATATGATTGATTGATTGATTGAATGGGATTTAACGTCCCTGTCAAGATTATTACACTTATATCGTGATGTCATCAGATATAGGTGAAGGTGCAGAAACTAGGCCTATGCAATGCACTTATGGCGTATGCAGTGAGTGTTCTTTATCGTGCCAATGCCTGCTGTGACAGGGAATCACGGTTTAAAGTCTCACCCGAAAGACCAAGTGGTGTCAGGAGATGATAAATCATCATTATATCAATCGGGTAAAGTTTGGATCAAATCCACCAAGTAGTTTCATATATTTGAACAAGAAGCCCAATAGGCCTTAATGCTCATCTGAGTATAACTGAATATGACAGATATAAAATTATAGATATTATGCGATTGTCAAATGATCTTGAACAAAGATCAAAGTAAAATATTTCACAAATGTGTTAGCCTTTCAAGAATAGAATGAAAATATGAAGTTTCAAACTACCAAGCCTTTTTGATTGTGAGAAAATAAATTTATTGCGCAAATATTTTTGCAAACTTTGTTAGGCCTCATGAGAAGATGCTACGTAAGACATTTCAAGCGTCTAAGCCTTTTTGTGTGTGAGAAGAAGTCCTTTAGAGGAGTTTACCCCATATAGTCATTGTGACCTTGAACGAAAGTCAAGGTACAATATTTTTGCAAACTTTATTAGGCTTTACGAGTAGTTTTTATATACATGTATGAAGTGACAAGCTTCTAAGTCTTTTCGTTTGTTAGAAATGGTTGTGTTAAGGATGTTACCAAATATGGTCACTGTGACCTTGAATGAAGGTGAAGATCAACTATATTTTGCAATTTTTGTAGCCCTTAAAGTGTATATGATATACATGAATTTTGGTGCTTCCAGGCCAACTGGTTCATGAGAGAAGTTGTTTAAAGATTGTCACATTTAAGGTCACTGTGACCTTGAATGCAGGTCAAAGCAAACTTTTTTCACGTACTTTGAAGGGATTGGCTCATTGAGGCTTCCTCTAAAGTTGCTTCAAAATTGGCATAGTGGGTCTGTAGGAGAAGTCGTTTGAGTAATTGTTTACGGAACAACAACAGCTCACATGAGCCTTCGGATTGATTAATTATGTATAGTGGTTCTTAAGAGATGAGAATGTAACGATAACAGACTATAGATAATAGGTGCAAAGTGATCGCAATAGCTCAGAATGGTCTTTGTCCAGGTGAGCTGAAAAGTTGTATGTTTCTTTAAACCTAATCAAACAAACCTTATAATCAAGCTTCAAATACTGTTTACAACTGGATAAGCGTTTGCCTTTGCTCCCTCTGCCACATAGTTATCAAGGCCTTTCATACTTTTCCTAATATGAGGTTCAATTGTCTCTAATATTCTCATATTTGATCTATCACTTGCAACATCAGTAATTCCCGATTCCCAACAACAAGTCTGGTACTGTTCTACAACAATTTTCAAAAAATGATATATCAACTCACAACAAGCAACTTCGTGGAATGTATATCCCCGCTTGCAGGACATATTGTAGGTTAACATTATTTGGGTTAGGTTTAAACATGTGAGTATCGTGCTGTTGAGACATAATGTATAGTTTGAAACTTGAAGAAGAAAAATAAGCCCTATACCTCATTGATTATTCATAAATCTGCACAAATCACACCGGTTGGCAAACTTAGCATGAGTCGGATGTGCATACGGAATTTGGTTGAAACATTTGAAACATTTGAACAATATCGACAGCTATTATCACATGAAAACCAAAGAGTGCCCGAGATGGGTGGAAAGACAGAGGAACAAAAACATTGTTATCAAGTTTGATGAAAATTGGCTAATATTTGCTAGAGTTATTAAGTGGAAACTACTGAAAATAACGTTTTTCGTTAATCAAGGGCCATAACTCTGCCAAATGGAGTCTGATCAAAGTGGTTGTCAAACGTGGCCGAGGCCTTAATGTGGTGAACCCTGTTACTAAGTTTGACGACAATCGGATAATATTTGCGAGAGTTGATGAACAGAAACAGCAGATAATGATGTTTTTCGTTATTCAAGGGGCAATAACTCCTCTAAATGAGGTCCGCTGATAGTGGTTATCGCGCTTGACCGAGCTAAGGCATTTAACCCTGTGACCAAGTTTGAAGAAAATTGGTTAACATTTGTTGTAATTATTGCACGAAAACAATTTCAAGGGGCCATAACTCCACCAAATGGGGTTCGCTGAAAATGATCGTCGAACTGAGTTGAGCCCTTAAAGCATTTAACACTGTGACCAAGTTTGAAGAAAATTGGTTTTAATTTGTTGTATTTATTGCACGGAAACGAAGCGCGGCAGAAAAAGACGTTTTTCATTATTCTAGGGGCCATATCTCATCTAAATGGGGTCCGCTGAAAGTGGTCATTGAAATTGGCTGAGCCCTTAAAGCATTTAACCCTGTGACCAAGTTTGACGAAAATTGGTTAAACAGTTGTTGTAGTTATTGGACGAAATCGAAGACAGACAGGCCCAAATTTAAAATCATTGAAATGTAAAACCCTTACCACTTGAACATTTCCTTATCATGTTCTGGATGTATGTAAGATTTCAAGAAAATCTATAAAAGTATGTAGGAGGAGTTGAAGACACAATGTGTCCAGGTAGGTAACACACATTTATAATTTCAAAGGTGCATAACTCTCACACAAATTGTTAGGATAAAAAAATAATTTGTGTCAAAAGCTTAACTCATAAAGCTGAATAAGTATACAACGTTTGAGAGTTTACAATGTAGTTCAGACAGACGACCGACTGATTCCTATATACCACGAACTTTGTTTGGAGGGTGTATATCATGTATAATAAAGCAAGACATATACAATATTCATGAAATAAGTACATGTACATGCATTATCAGTGTATAAGATGAGGAGGTGGCACCATCTTCATTGTGAATATATTCTTTCCCTTGAAGAGGTGATCCATCAATGAACCTCCTCGTTGTTGTTTCCTGTTTAAATGAACCATACATTTAAGCCTTTAAAATTTTATATTAATCAAGCTTCATAATGTTACAGATAGATTATATCACACCACCCTGTTGGTTATGATATGTATCCACTCCAACTCCAGATACATGTGCAATGTAGTTAAAAAAACAAATTCAAATGCATGGCAAGCCTCACATTTTTGAATTTTGACAATATAACTAAGTGGATATTTATCGTAATCAACAGGGTAAAGTGGAAGAATCTTTTTCTCTAATGAACTAATGTAAAATGCTGAGTCTAACTTTCCGAATGGAGAAATCAAAATGTATCACACAGTTTTTTGTTGTTGTGTCGTCTGTTATTTATGGTATTTTTTACAGATTGCTCTGTTTGTTTTGTATATTTCAATTACTAATTGAATATAGTAACGAAAAGACAAGGTTCATTGTCTTCCCTTTTTTAAATTCAAAATGTTGTACATGTAAATTGAGCTCCACATACATACATGAATATCATACATGTTTTTTAATAAAAGGGTAAAACTGTCTTTGAGATATGATTAATCCCACATTGATGTATATTACTTTAAAGTTCACCTTTCCTAAAGTAAACATATATTTTACCATGCCATAATTCCTTTCACAGTGATATACCTAGATTCACATAAAATGTCTGCTATTGTAATAGAATTATTACCACTTCTGAGACCGCAGCAATTGCATTTTCTTCAGAAATATTATTTACAGGTGGCCATAGTGGAGAGTTATCCTCTTCCCAGATGGCATGTACCATATCACTCCTAAATTTTTGACATACTCTAGTAATACAAAAAGCTACAATACCATTAAGATAGTTTAATTAGTAGAAAGTGTGTACAACATATTTCATGTTCTTGAAAACTGAACAGCTAATGCCAGTATGTTATCATGGTTAAGTCTGTTTTTTGTAACAATGTAATGACACCTTTGTCAGGAAGGGAATATATTCTCAGAAGGTGACTGTTTAATAGATGATTTAGTTGGACTTCAGACATGTTGGACAGGTGTCCCTAGTCTGACATATATAGTAAAATGTCCCTACCTGTACTACATTTTTTTGTAAAACTGGGTTTACTTATGAGTTTGTCTATTTATTCTATTATGTTGGAATCGAAATGAAAATGCAAAATGGGCAGATAATCCTTAAATCTGAGTTTGACTTCAATGGTAAAACCATAACCCAATCGTTAACCTTAAAAATAAAATATATTTACAAGCTCCTACAGGAAAAAGAATCCCAAACTTTCCATGTATAGCTCTGGACTGCTGTATAGAAACTGAGGCCCTCTCTATTGTCCTCTTACCATTGCAAATTTGAAGGGTTTTTTTCATCATACAAAGTTTTGATGACCTCCATCCTTTACGCAAGTTGAAGCGGTGGTTAGGACAAATTGTTAAACGGTCAGTGTCGTGTTCAAAAATTCCAGCACGAAATTTAATAAGTTGTAGCTCATTATAAACTGATGATGGGTTGATTCTGTATTGTGAAAGGTTTGCATTAACGTTGTCAAGACAAGAATGGAAGAAACATATCTGGGATGATGGTTTGATGTTAAAACTAGTATTACAAGGGATATACCTGGAAAAATTGGCAAAGGAACACCCCATCTATAAGAGCATGAACCACCCTAAAGAAAATAAAATAATTAATGCTGTTGCTGTCTGTCGTCTGCTGATGTGGAGGCTGCCATCTTTAAAACTATCTTCCCTGCACTTACTATTGAAGAGCTCCTTCAAGGGAGATAATTTCACACCCAAATTATGTTAATTGGTGCTCTAGATTATCATTGTTTCCCGAACCGCTGTTATTAGGCTTCTCAATTTTATTCGCGATCGAAATTGAGTAGGGACGGTACTTTCCGGATATATATAATTTATACAATTCTATTGGTGCAGAGCTAAGACAAAAACAGTTGAAAGAGTTGGTTTTTTTTCAGAATATTTTATTGTACTGATCTTTTGTACAAAAGGAATTGGGCAACAGGCATAGCCTATATAAGCCCTCTCCTTACAAAACATAACAGTATATACATAACATATAAATGTTACTTTTACAGATGTTTCTTTAAGTATTAAAATAAGAGATTATTTGTACTTGTGATTGGAAACCATAAATAAAAGTTTGGGTATTGAGTGGAATAGCATCACTTATCGCTGACAGAGAGTTAAGTAATATTAGTCGTTGGTTAGAAAAAAAAGGACAGTGCAAGAAAAAAAAGATCACGATCTTCGAAGGGGGAGCCACATATACAAGCAGGGCTATCATTTAGATGTGCATTAAATCTGAATTTAAATTAATTGCAGAATTTCTTAACTGACATAATGTTATGTTAATTTTTCTATCACCGTGATATTTACAAATGTTACTACATATTGGGTGAACATCATCCATATGGGATGAACGTAAACATTCCTTTTTCAGAGCTCCAAGAGATGTCATAGTGGGAAACAGACAGGCTGGGTTGTTCCATTCTGACATCAGTTTTGGAAAATAACTAGAGTTATATAAATGCGTTCTTGGTATTGGAATGTCAAATAACCTATTATGTCGAAAGTTGTAATGTTCAAAGTTATTAAGAAAGGGCAGTATCAAGTCTGAGACATGAGATGGACAATTGTTATTAAAGAATTTAAAAAATGCAATATTTTGATGTAAATGTCTTCTTTTATAAAGTTTAACAAAGCCAGTCTCCCAAAATAAAATGTTATGGTTCGTTCCTCGTCTTAAACCAGAAATAATGCGTGCTGCTTCAAGTTGGATTGACTCTAAGACGTTGCACTCTCTCTGGGAACAGTTAGCCCATACAATATCAGCATATTCGAGGATTGGACGAACATATGATATATATATTGTTTCAAGGGATGTTCTATCAATCTTAAATTGTAACATTCTAAGTATATTCAGTCTTTGTATATGCTTTTTCATAAATATATTTTATATGAGTTGACCAGTTGGCTTTGCCATTGAAAATAAGACCAAGGTGTTCATGATTAATAACATTATTAATAACTGCATTATTAAAAAAATAGATTAGGATGCAACGTCTCAGAGTCGACCCGCCTTGAGAAAAGTAGAGCCTCCGTTTTATCCGGATTAAAGATGATACCCCATTTATCAGCCCAGATAGAGATTTTACGCAAGTCTTCATTTAGTATGTCAGCAGCTTCCTGTCTGTTTTCCTCTATCAATGCATATAAAGATGTGTCGTCAGCGAAAAGCTTGACATTAGAGATTAAATTTTCTCCGATATCATTTATGTACAGTAAAAATAAAAATGGCCCTAAAACTGACCCCTGTGATACCCCCGCCTTTAACGTTTTCCAGTTAGATTTATATCCATCAAAGACCACCTTCTGTCTCCTATCAATTAAATACGAAGAAAACCATTTCAAAATATTACCGCAAAACCCTCTTCTTTTTTTAATTTGAAAATTAAACCATCATGCCAGACCCTGTCGAAAGCTTTGCTGATGTCACAAAATATCATTCTAGCTTCTTTACCTTTATCCAAGTGCTTTACAATTGCATCATATATAACTAATAATTGGTAGACAGTTGAATCTTTAGGTAGAAACCCTGATTGATTCTTAGAAACAATATTATATCTTGAGAGATAATTAAACATATATTTAAAAACAATTTTTTCAAGAAGTTTACTAAAAATAGGAGTAACAGAGATTGGTCTATAATTAGATGGGTTACTTCTTGCACCCTTGCACTTGTACACGGGTGTAACATGAGCATTTTTCCATGCAGAATGGAGAATACCGGAGGAAATAGATTTACTGAAGATTAGTAACAGAGGTCTTAATATAGATTGAGATACCCATTTAATAAATTTTGGAGGGATGGAATCAGTGCCTTGGGGTTTATTAGTATTGAGTTGGTGAAACTGGTCAATGATGTCCTGTTCTGTAATGTCAAATGTCGAGAAGCTGTGCTCTGGCCGGTTACAGTCGGTTGGCAAATCATCAGCATTCTTTCCGGTTTCAGATATTGATGAAAAATAATCGTTAAAAGATTCAGCTATGTTGACGGGATGTATTTTGAGTGTGCCATTAATAACCAGAGGAGAGTCAATTTCACATTTATTTTTAAGATTCATAACAGATTTTGCAACACGCCACCATTTCCTCGGGGGTATGGATTTGTCTATTAGAGAAGATTGTAATTTTGAAAGATATTTTTCTTTGGCCTCATGTATTAATACAATTACTTCATTCCGAATAGTTCTAAATTTGTTCCAGGAGGCTGGAGTATTGTATAATTTGGATTTAGAATGCTGACGATTTCGTTGTCTTATATTCAGTCTTATGTCATTAGTCATCCAAATTTTATCGTTAGACCTAATAGTTACAGTTTTATGAGGAACAAATTGATCTAAGGCAGATAGGATTTTGTCAGAAAGAAAACAAATCATGTTTTCAATATCCCCATGTAGTTCAACATCCCAGTCAATTGAATTTAGATAAGTATTGGCTCCGTCAAAGTCAGTATTATTAAAGTAAAGTAATGTTTTCTTGTATGCACGTTTCTTTAAGGTTTTGAAGTTTAGGTCAGCACTGACAGGACAGTGATCACTGCAGGAAGGAGGATGGACTGTGCTGTTAGTTACAAAGTTTATGTTATTAGTTATTATGATATCAAATGATGTTGAAGATAAAGGAGTAATCCTGGTAGGTTCAGAGACAGTATTTTCAAAACCATATTTTAATAATAGTCGATGAAAATGAGAGTTTGGATTAAGATTTAACATGTTAACATTTATATCTCCTACCAGCACAACGTCTTTTTGCAGATCAACAATACTGTCAAAATTGTTGTCAAGTCTATCCCAAAAGCCTACGAGAGAGTTAGGGTGTCTGTATATACAACCAAGAAGAATGGGTTTATTATTAGTGGTTACCTCAATCCATATTAGTTCAAGATCATCTGAATCTAAATCAACTCTACGTTTAATATTTATGTTATTTTTGGTATAAATAAGTACCCCGCCTCCACAATTATTAGTCCTATCCTTTTGAAAGAGGGGGTCATACAAGAAAAAAGATAAAAATGACAAAATAATTTAAATGAGACCCACACAATTATTTCTTATTGATGCCTTCACCATTTTACTTACTAAAACATATTATAATTGGAGAACTTGGTCACATTAGTACATTTTTACCAAATTCCATGGCCCCCCACTCTTTCTTAATGGTTTCCATGGTAACGCAATGCAATATTGCAATAAAATTGGCCTTATATCTTAGCAGTGGATTCATTGACCAACAATAGAACAAACAAAAAATCAAATGAAGCAGTTTCAATCATTTTTATTGAGGAAGCTTAATGGTTCGTGGCATCCCCTCTTAATGAGAAATGCAAAATGAATCATTACCGAATATGAAAGGTTGGCTTCATTATATTTTATTGTTTATAAATTTGTGATAATATATATATATACATATTTGGCGATCTAGAAATTGTTTGATATGTTTGTGCTTTAGTTCTTCATTTGTTAACAGCTATGGTCATTTAAGGACGATTTAAATATTTACTAGCAGAATCGCCAAATTGAAATTCCTCTCAATAATTCGTCAGTTATACTATCAAGCAACACCTATCGGACGTCTGGCATGGTCTTACACCGACGAAATGTATCAGTGGCTAAGCCACTATTTACAACATCGGGCACAACCAAATTATCATAGGCGAAGACACATGTCTCGGGGATGACATAACAACATACCTTATACATGTGATAGAGGCCATTATGTTTGCAATACCTCCATCAGAAGTCCAACCCAGGACAACTAGTTTACTGGTCGTACGGAGTACAACAGAGCTAAAGAGAAAGTCTCCCTAACAGAGGCATAAGGAAGCAGCTAGTATTCTACAAGGGTGACTTATTCCCCCTGTTGGAAAAACGTCGTACCGATATTTCGAGGCGGTCATAGCGATTCTTGTGAAAGTTTCCCTTGTATTTTGTCAATACATCCCGGTGTCTACAAGGGTGCCAATGTAAATGAAATAGAGGTTATTATTTTCCAGTGCCTCCGCCAGGAGTCGAACCCGGGACCTCTGGCTTACAAGTCTTACGATCTACCGAAGGAGCTTAAAAGAAATTCTCCCGAACAGAGACGGCAGGAAGCAGCTAGTATTTTACCAGGGTGACATACTTCCCCTCCAGGACATAAATCGTCCCGATAGTTCGAGGCGGTCATAGCGATTCTTGTGAAAGTATCTCTAGTGTTTTGTCAATATATCCTGGTGCCTACATCGGTGCCAATGTACATGAAAGAGAGGTTATTATTTGTTAATGCCTCCGCAAGGAGTCGAACCCGGGACCTCTGGCTTACTGGTCTTACGCTCTAATGAAGGGGCAAACGAGAAATTCCTCCTAGCCGAATCGGTAGGTACAGCTAGTAATTGACCATGTTGACATATACATGTCTCACCGTTATAGCAACACAACATTAATAATTCAACGTCACGCCGAAACACCGAATCAGAGACATAGCTCTGTTTAACAGCTAATGCGTTGTAGTTCAACACACTTGATATATCTTGTGTCTTCGTCAATTATTTAGAAATTTATTTTATAATTTGTTTTTCAAATTTC